CACACACACACACACACACACACACACACACACACATCCAAACCTCCCCTTAGCTAAGCTCAAGAACTCAAAGTTAGGGATATCAATTCTAACCGGGGTCATTAACATTACTCATTACAGTCCTGCAGGAATACAATTAAGCTAATGGTACGCCCGAAACAAACAAAAAATACTCTAAATGCATATTATATTGTATGTAAATTATATACATGTGTACATATCTTATATAGCCATTATTCGAAATTATAGCATTTTGTCAGCTGTAACTCGGAAATAATTTTGTTATCGTTATGTTGATATACAGTGGTATTGATATCATATCTCATGAAAACATATTTTAATGACGACCCCACACCGTTTGTTCAAACATTTATTTCCTTTGTTTCTATTACTGACCCGTACAAAAGAAATACATGTACATACATTCCAAAGAGGTATACTACACCACCCCCTTCCCTCCCATAATATCATAATATTCTTGTATGTGAAACAGATGGGACAGCATATTTTTATTATGGTCATGGTGACAGGTTCACCATACTATATGAGCGAATGGTATGATGTATGTGCGCGTGTCCGGGGGGGGGGGGGGGGGGGGGGGGGGGGATTACATGTATCAACATGTGTTTGAATTTTGTTTGAATTAGTTGTATTTACCTTCAAATTGAACTCGCCTTATAAATCTATGTTTGGAAGATCTCGTCAATTTGTCTGTCAAGTTGACAATCAGGTGACCTCATTTCACTGGCGGCGGATTTGGATATTTTCGGCCGTGGCTGCAGAGACCAATCAATTACATGACAATGATTTATGTTTATACTTGAGGCTTGGTAGATAACATTTAACAGCACTTTGGGATTATACATGGAGCGAATTATGTATTTGTTTCTTTGCTTGTTTTTTAAGATTTATTTGTGTTGTGTTTGTGCACGCGTGTGTGTCTGTGTGTGTGTATGTGTGTGTGTGTGTGTGTGTAGCGTGCGCGCGTGTGTGTGTGTGTGTGTGTG